CGGATTTATATATATATATATATATATATATATATATATATATATATATATATATATATATATATATTATTGATTTCAGATAGAAAGGGAGAGAGAGAAACATCGATGAGAGAGAAACATTGATCAGTTGCTTCCTGCCACCCCACACTGGGGATCAAGCCTGCAATCCGGGCATGTGCCCTGACCGGGAATCGAATCTTGACCTCCTGGTTCATAGGTCAACGCTCAACCACTCAGCCACACCGGCTGGGCTTAGTTTTGGTCTTTAAGCCTCTGAACCTCAGCTGCCACTGCTGCAGCTGCCTCAAGCTCCAGCACCTTTGAAACAGGAATGTGAGGTTTCTGGAAACAGTTGACCCGAGAGAGACAAGTATGTTAAATGTGTTCACGTGTGGTGGTGGTGGTGGTGGTGATGAGATGGGGGGCGAGGGGTTCATGCCTCAGCAGCCTCCAAGAAGGACAAACAAGCAAACCAACATGGTCCACATCCTGTGCCTCGAATCTCGTCTGCCCTGACATCTGAAAGTTTATCCTGATGTTAGTTGTCATGTCTTGAGCTGCAAAGGAAGCTGATTTGCCTTGGTTGGGCCCTGAGAGAAGCTGGGCTCTATGGAGAGATGAAGGGAACTACCATTAAATGCCTACTGTGTGTCAGAAGCAGCAGTAAGTATATGCAGAGGTGGCATCTCACGGAATCCTCACATAACCTGATGAGTCAGTGATTCGTATCCCTCTTACAGAGAAAGAAACTGAGCCGGCGAGAGGGAAACTAAACTTGCCCAAGGCCACACAGCCAGGAAAGGGCAGAATTGGGATTCCAACCATTGCCTGCGTGTCTTTGGTCAGTGATATCGCGGTGGATTCATCCTAATGGCTCAATAAAGTGACCAGGGCTGGAATCGGTGATCACTATTACATTTTACCCACTTGACCCAAATCTAGGAACATTAGTAAGAAAAATGCGCATGCGCCTGGCGGTGGCTCAGTGGTTAGAGCGTGAGCCTGCGCACTGAAGGGTGGAGGGTTTGATTCCCTGTCAAGACATGTACCTCTGTTGCCAGTTAGTTCCTCTCCAGTCAGGCTGCCTGCGGGAGGCAACCAATGTGTGTGTCTCTCTCTCACCCTCCCTCCCTCCCTTCTACTCTCTAAAAAGCAATGGGGAAAAAATTATCCTCGGGTGAGGATTAAGAATAATAACATAAAATAAATTTAAAAAAACATAAAAACTTTTAAAACCGCCTACACACGCGCAGTCCTCGTGCCCATCAAGCAGGATAAGCAGCAAAGGGAACCTGTCCACTGTCCAGGGACAGTTGCCCAAACAAGTTCCGGCCCCGCCTCCATGTTAATGACATGCAGATAGATGTAAATTTGCACAAGCAACTGCTCAAACCTTGGGAAGCAATGAGATGACACAGAAGTTTCTATGGAAACCCAAAAGCGCCCCCACACACACCTCGTGGCAGAAGCAATCGCAAAGACACGTGCACAAAGACCCAGGGTTCCTCGCTGCGGAGCCCGGAGGATCACGGAGTCGCGGAGGGCGTGAACCGGAAGGACCCGCAGAGCCGGCGTCCAGCCGGTGCTGAAGCCCGAGAGGCCGCGGGGAGAGCGGCATGGGGGGCGCCTTCCGCTAGAGCCGAGGGGAGCTTGGTAGCCCTTCAAGTCCCAGGCGACTCCTACTCTGGCCTAGCAACGTGAGCCCCGCCCAGCGTTGCTTAGCAACATCTCACCGAGCCTAGCAACCACCGGCCTCGCCCCCTAGCAACAGCTCGCCTAACGCGCTGTCCGGGCCTCCTCTGCCAAAGAGAAAGGCCAGGGGCTCTGGACTAGCCGCGCAGCGGTCTCCAACCGGTGGTCCGTGAGGTCCGAAAGGTTGGCGACCGCTGGACTAGGGCCACAGGTGGGTGGACGTCAGGTTGACCAGCCCCCAGCCTCGAAGCAGGCCGCAGCATTCGGGGTCCGCCTACAGCCCCCTCCTCACAGAGGTGAAAGCTGAACGGAAGCCCCAGCGCCGAGTGCAGAGCTTGCTCTTCCCGGAGCGCCCCGGGAAGGCAGCAAACGCTGCACCTGGGGGAGCGGGTGCGCAGCCGTCTCCCGCTCCAAGTCCTCCTCCTTCAACCGCGTTAGGAAAATGACCCAAATTGCCGGCTCGGAATAGAGCTGTAGGTTGCATAGTAATTTGTGTCATTTGCATATGGCACAGAAGCTGTGGCGCTCACCAGCCGCTCGGGCCAGAAAAGCTCCCAAAGGAGCTTCGACCCGTCTGCAGGTTCACCGGTCCCTTCTCCCTGTCCCACCCCGCACCCCACCCCGTCCCTGCTTCCCATCCCTTCGGCTAAAATCCCACACCTCGCCCCACCCCCAGCTCGGCCTCTAGCCCTGCCAGCCCCGACCTCCATCCCAAGGCCGAGGGCCCCCTCTGCTGTCGTCCGCGGGTAGGGCAACAGCAGAGCTCATGGGGCAGAGAAGACTCCCCCAAACACCCCATCCGTCCGGCACGGTCCAGGACAAGGCTGGCACATAGGTAGATCGCGGGAAGGGGTGGGCAGGGGGACACCCTCAGGCCCGGGGAGAAGGGTAGGGTCCTATCAGAAGTTCTCCAAGCCGAGTCCTGCTTCTCCGTGTGGGTTAGGCAGCCAAGGCAGGCCAGTCCCCAGACTCAGTTCTCCCAAGGACCGCCCACACTGATATGCTTTTCCATTGTAGCTGCTGTTAGATCACTCCAGGCCCCAGGCAAAGCAGCACCATCCAGCCCTAACTCCAGCCTGAGCGTCCACCTGCCAGGCCAAGACCCTTGGCTTTCTCCAGTCCCAGTGCCCAGGAGCTGGCAAGAGATACAGAGAGGAGTCGACCTTTATGGATCTCCCGACTTCAACAGACAACAGACGCACACACATGCTCACAGGCAGAGGCACACACAGAGACACATAGGGACTATGGTGGTAGCCCCACCCCCACCCCAGCTCTCTGTTGGTAATGAAAATGTTTAAAACCATTGCAATCTCTAGGTGCCTGTGCCCCTTCAAAAGCTGAATTCTCTCTGTCCCCCTCCCTACTCCTGCCTTCTCTCCCGTTACCTGTTCTCCCTCCTAGTTCAGATTACTTGCAAAATGCTTCCAGAACCCACCATGCCAACAGCCGTGCCCTGGCACACAGTGATAGTCAAGGACCTCAGACAAGCAACTGGCAAAGTTGCCCCTCCATCCAAGCATGTTAGCTTTGCTACCACATCTGTGCACAAAAATCTCAGACACACCCACCCCAGCCCACACCTGGCCAGGCCCAGGGTCTCTCCTGCCCAGCCAGCAGATGCATGCAGTCTCAACTTCGTCAAAATCTTTATTGAACCAAAAATCAACACTAAACAGTTTGCAAAACATGAAACTCAAAAGGGGCAGGTGGGTTGAGCTGGCCCTCCCCTTCCTCTGCCCCCATATCTCCCTGGAACAGCTCAGGGTTCAGCACTGGGGAGGGAGTCAAAGGCCCTCTTCTAGGGTCAGGTCTCTCCAGGGAGAGGACACTCAGAGCCAGCTCCATCTGTTGGGCCCAAAGAGGAGTCGGAGGCTGGGCCAGGGGGCTCTGGAGCTGCCGGAGGCCGGCATAGGAGTCCAAGGATTCCACCGGCTGCAGGGGTCTGGGGAAGGAGCTCCTGGCCTGGGGATCTCAGGGAGGCTTGGAGCTGGCGGCTCATCGTCACCAGGGATTCAAGATGCTGGAGCAGGGCTTGCTGGGGACAGGATGCCCTGTGGAGGTGCTGGCCCCGGCCAGCTGGTGCTGCCGAAGAGGGGTGCCAGGACTGGCACCAGCCTGGTCTTGTGGGCCACTCCCCTCGCCCAGGCCCCTGCCAGGTCTCAGGCTCTTCCCACAGTCTCCCCCTGCCTCTAGAGGGCTTGGAGCCAGGCTGCCTTTGCCCCGGCTCTGCTGCAGGGTGCCCCCTGGGGGAGGGGAGCCCCTCGGGGCCACATCCGGCCTCCTGTCCTTCCGCTGGTAGCATCTCAGCTCCACTTTTTTGTTGAAGGAGACCACCTTGCGAACCTTCTCCAGCAAGGGGCTGGATTCCGCTGTGTCTGGAAACCCTGCTGTGGGGAGCAGCACAGCCAGCAGCAGGCTTGGGTGAGTGGCTTCCAGGCCTGGGGAGAGGCAGGGAGAGACCCAAGGCCTGGTAGGAGCGCGTGCACCGCCCTCCGGGAGCTGCACGCTGGCTGTGGCAGGAGGTCTGGAGGTCAGACCCCCAAGAGGAGCTTTCCAGCAAGGAGACGGGGCCCGGGAGCTGCTGGGGAAAGTAACTGGGAGATTGGTTCTCAGTGAGGGAAAGGGTTCCCCTGGCTGAGGGTAGACATGGATGGTGTGACCCTACCTCCGTTTTCTCGTCTGTGACATGAGGACATTAATAGAACCATTCTAGGGTTATTGGGAGGACGAAGTGAATTAATTTAAGCTTTTAGAACACTGTCTGGCAGGCAGTAAACAACAGACAAGTATGAGCTACCGGCATTGTTATCACATTTTCCTGTCTCAGGAGTTCCCTCCTGAGAGGTGCCTGTCTCCACAGAGACATGGTGTCACCAAGTGAAGGGAGGCAGGGTCTGGTACGGGCCTCAGTGTTCTCACCTGGGCCTCCAAGAAGGCGCAGTCTGGTGGGCAGGGGCTGGAAGGCAGGCAGGGGGAGCAGGACCACCCTCACGTGTTCCACCGCTGCCAAGCCATGGCACTGCTTGTTGTTGAGGTAGGAGTAGAGCAGGTGGCAGTTCTGGGTGTCCCGAGCCCCCTGGGGGCACAGTCTGACCACACAGGCGTCCTGTAGTTGCAGGAAGGACAGCAGCTTTAGGAGCAGTCATCCTTCACTCCTGCAAACACCCCTGCTGTGAGGCAGTGCACCCCCTTTTCCGGAGAAGGAAACACAGGGACTCGCCCAGGGTCACACTGTAAGCCTGCAGTCACAGTGGGAACTCGACCCAACTATTGTACACCAGGTCTCTGCTCCAGAGGCAGAGAGAGGGAGCACAGGGCTGGGGTACGGTGCTAGCGGAAGAGGTGATACGCAAGGGTGGGTGGTTACCTTGGCCTTGGCTGGGCAGACGCTGGCCAGAAGGTCCCAGATGGTGCTGGAGGGGATGCAGCCTGCTGAGCGGATCACCTCGGGCAGGGTCTGGGGGCAGGTAGCATGGCCAGTCAGCCCCCAAGATGCCTAGCCGCTGAGGGCAGACTGGACACCAGCCACCTGAAAGCCACAGCCTGTGACGAAGAGGATGAGCAACTAGTCTATCAGGATCCCAAGTGGCTGCCCAGGAAGCCTACGTCCTGTCCTGGCCAATCTCCTACAACTTCTCAGAAGGCCCTCACTCCCTCCTCTGACCGCCCACCTTCGTCCCACACTTTTGCTGATCATTAGTCACTTAACTATCACTTCTAAAATCTCCTCTGGGCCAGGGAAGCACAGACCGCTGTGCTGGGTCCTTCTTGCTCAATGCCTTGGGTTACAGGGAGTCCTTTACCCACGTGTGTCTGCAGGAGTGGGGCTGGCATCTCATTTGTCCCCATATCTAGCACAGGGCCAGGCATAGAGAGGGTCTTAGAATGAATGAATGAATGAATGAATGAATGAATGAATGAATGAATGAGGGTGTGAGTAACTGACTGGGCTGGTCAGTGTGTGAGGGAGACCCTGGTGAATAGGGCAGCAGTACCATGATGAGCTGACAGCTGTGTCCTGAGACCAGCTGGGCCTTGACCCGGAACTGCTTGATGGAGAACATGGCCACAGCCCCCTCCCAGGGGGGCTTTGCGGGCCCTACAGACACCTGCAGCCTGGAGGGAAGGACAGAGAGAGAGGGCCAGGGAGAAAGGTCATCAGGGCTTCCCCAGCATCTCCTTACTTTTCCAAGAAGGTCCCGTGTCCGCACTGCGGGTGTCGCACACGGGTCCAAGCACGGCGTTATGCGGGGGTGAACCAGGAGGTCGGGAAGATTAGTTCTACCGCACAGATGGGGAAACTGAGACCCACGGAAGAGGCACGTTTTTTCCAAGGCCACACAGAAAGAGAAACCCATGCCGAGCCTGCTGTCCCAGGGGTGGCTTCCCCCACCGCCCTGCCCCAGCCCCACACCTGTCCTGGGGCTCCATGGGAGGTTTCTCCGAGATCTGGGGCATCTCTGGAGAGGACACAGGGTCTGGGCTTGGGGCTCTCTGGGTGACATTGTCCTCCACCCTCCTGTTGGCTTTGGAGAAGCCTGGCAGCTCACACAAGGGCCTCCAGTCTGCAAACAGCAGAGGCAGGAGCTGGAACGGGCAGGCAGCCAGGCTGAGGCCAGCCAGGGCTTTAGAGCCAGGGTTTGAAGCGGGTGGTTTTTGAAGTGACCTGGGGCACAGGCACCCCCACCCCGCCACCTTCTCCCCAGGCCACACATCCCTATGACTGCTGACCCTCACCGCCCAGCCTGCCCGCCCCTCTGTGCCCTTTCTGTGTCTCCCACAACCGTTGCAGATGTGGCAGCTGGGGTCGAAGAAGTGGTGCTCATGCTGCTCCGTGGGGTCCTCCTGCTGTTCCGGGGGTTCCTGCTGCTCCGGGGGTTCCTCCTGCTGCTCCGGGGGTTCCTGCTGTTCTGTGGGGTCCTCCTGCTGCTCCGGGGGGTCCTGCTGCTCCGGGGGTTCCTCCTGCTGCTCCGGGGGTGTCCTGCTGCTCCGGGGGTTCCTGCTGTTCTGTGGGGTCCTCCTGCTGCTCCGGGGGGTCCTGCTGCTCCGGGGGGTCCTGCGGTTCTGTGGGTTCCTGCGGTTCTGTGGGGTCCTCCTGCTGCTCCGGGGGGTCCTGCGGTCCTGCTGCTCCATGGGGTCCTGCTGCTCCGGGGGTTCCTCCTGCTGCTCCGGGGGTTCCTCCTGCTGCTCCAGGGGTTGGTCCTGCTGCTCCATGGGGTCCTGCTGCTCCCGGGGTCCCTCCTGCTGCTCTGGGGGTTCCTCCTGCTGCTCTGTGGAGTCCTCTGACATGGCAGGCAGGGCCAGCGGGCTGCAGTCTATGGACACCATGGTTCTCTGGGAGGCATAGGGAGAGGGGGTGGCCTGGAAAGGCAGCTGGGGGAGTCAGGAGCCCTCCATGAGCGGATAGCCTCAGGGATGTGGCTTTATTCTTCCAAGTAATATGTTCTTTTATTACAAAAGTACTGTGACTTGTTAAAGAAAATTTGGAAAAAAAAATCACCCCTGTCCTGTCACTGTTGGTACTCTGGGTATTCCTTTATAATTTTTTTTTTAATATACAAAGGTTTTAGGGATCTTTTACTAAAATAGCTAGGATCAAATATTCAACCTGGTCCTGGCCGGGTGGCTCAGTTGGTTGGAGCGTTGTCCCATACACCAAAAAGGTAGCAGGTTTGATTCCTGGTCAGGGTGCATACCCAGGTTGTAGGTTCCATCCCTGATCAGTATGTGTATGAGAGGCAATCAACCTATGTTTCTCTTTCTCTCTCTCTCTTTCCCTCTCTCTCTCTCCCCCTCCTGTTTCACTCTCCCTCCCTTCTTCCCCTCTCCCTCCCTCTCTCCCTCCCTCCATCTCTCTAAAATCAATTTAAAAACATATCCTCAGATGAATATTAAAAATATACATATACAGGATGTCCCAAAAAGATGTATACACACTTTGAATGATTATAAACTCAGTGTTTATTAACATACAGTTCACTTTCAAAATTTAAAAGAATCTACAGAAATTAATAATTTGTTTTGTCATTGCCTGTTTTCAAATTGATGACTATTCTGGTCCAGGCACTGCCGATAAGGTGAAGCAATGGAATCGCAAACATCGAGAATCATTTCGTTTGGTATTTGTGCGCCCTCAATTCGTCGACTGATGCCGGGTTTTGTACCGTAAACTTTATCTTTTATGTATCCCTATTAAAAAACGTCTAGTGGCACTTTAGGATAAATTTTCTTTGTTCAAAGCTTAGTCTGGCTTCACCCATTATTTCAAATCAGTTAAACCTGAAAAGGAGTGAAAATTAAGTGAGTTATCAGCCGTTAATGTGTGTATACATTTTGGGGGGACACCCTATATATATTCAACATTTAGACCATACCTCAGAGATGCTGTGGGTTCCATTCCACAATAAAGTGAATATTGCAATACAGTGAGTCACATGACTTTTCTGGTTTCCCAGTGCATATATGTTATGTTTACACTATTCTGTAGTCTATTAAGTGTTCAATAGCCTTATGTGTAAAAAAAAAAGTGTGCCCCCTGGCTGGGTAGCTCAGTTGGTTAGAGCATCATCCCAGTACACCAAGGTCCAGATTCAATCCCCAGTCAGGGCACATACAAGAATCCATCAATGAATGCATAAATAAGTAGAACAACAAATCGATGTTTCTCTCTCTTCCTCTCTCTCTCTAAAATCAATCAATAAATAAAAATTTTTAAAAAGTGTACCTAGCCCTAGCTGGTTTGGCTCAGTGGATAGAGCATCGGCCTGTGGACTGTCCAGGGTTTGATTCCCAATCAAGGGCATATGCAACAGGTTGCAGGCTCGTTCCCCAGTGGGGGGCATGCAGGAGGCAGCCAATCAATGATTCTCTCTCATCATTGATGTTTACATCTCTCTCTCCCTCTCCCTTCCTCTCTGAAATTAATGAAAACATATTTTTAAAAAGTGTACCTACCTTAATTAAAAATATTTTTTGGTGAACACACAATACAGTATACATGATGATGTATTATAGAATCGTACACTTGAAACCTACATAATTGTATTACCAATGTCACCCCAATAAATTCAATAAAAATTTTTATTTATAGAGCAAAGTATGAAATATAGGAAGACAATATTTCACGTGTCTTGGTGTCACCAAAATAAAATTTAGGCTCCCCCAAATAAAAAACAACATCATTGTTAAAAAAAAAAAAAAAGCCTAATCATCATCTGAGCCTGTTGGAAAACTGGTGCCAATAGACTTACTTGATGCAGGGTGGCCACAACCTTCAGTTTGTAAAAAATAAAAATAAAAATGCAGTATCTGCAAAGCACAATAAAGCAGACGCGCAATAACACAAGGTCTGCCTGGGTCCTCGTCGTGTCCCTGAATGACAGCAGCGGCATCTGCCACATTCCACGGTCCCTGTAGCTATTACACGAATGAGGTGCGTGGCCGTGTACGCATCACCTGGGGGCCAGATGATTGGGTCATTCCCAGGTTTTCGCTATTACAATTGGTTCTGAGGACATCCTTGTGCAAGAAAATATCTTCCTAAACTTTCAACTATTCCTTAGGACAAGTTCTCATGAGCTGATGACAGAATCAGGGAGAATGAACATTTTTAAGACTCTTGATTCCCATGGCCAAATCGCCTTTCTTCGTCGTAATAGAAGCAGCTTTAAACACAAACTAAACACTGTCTTAGGAAGATTCAAGAAGATTTTAACCTTGCCCGGCTGGCATGGCTCAGTGGTTGTATGTCGACCTGTGAACCAGGGGTCACGGTTCAATTCCCAGTCCGGGCACATGCCCGGGTTGTGGGCTCCATCCCCAGTGTAGGGCGGGCAGGAGACAGCCGATGAATGATTCTCTCTCATCATTGATCAGCTTCTCTCTCTCTCCCTCCCTCCATCTCTGAAATGAAGAAAAAAAATATTTTAAAAAAGATTTTAACCTCTACTTTTGCCCTAAAAACCATCTCCAGAATAGTGCCAAGGCCCAGGCTCTGGAGTCAGACAGCCTGGCTTCAAATCTCATCTCCCCCCTGCCAACTAGGTGATCTGGGCAAATGGCTTCAGGTTCCTCACCCAGGAGTACACTTCAGCAAGGAGTCAAGACTGTTGTGTGTCACTTTCCCTCCCCTCCTCTGCCACCCCCTACTCTTCCCCTCTCTCTTCTCTCCAGGTCTTCCTGGCTCCTCCCCTGCACTTACATTCAATCTATTCAGGGAATACAGATTGGTTTTGGTTGGAGAGCAGCCACGTCCCCGCGGGCTCCTCCCTGCACAGGCAGCAGCCCTGGTTGTTGGCCTGGATGTTGACTGGGAGAAGCAGGACTTTGTCTGTCACGCTCACTGCCATTTCCCCAGTGAACACGACTCCAGGGACCTTCCCTGCACTCCCCACCCTGGACACACAGCTGATTAGACTGGTGTGAACATCTGACCCACACAACACCCAACAGGAGCCGGAGCGCCTCAGAGTGACGGGAGGGAGCCCCGGGGGAGCTCTGACCGCTGCAGGAGGCTGAGCTGGCGGGCTCACTGACTGGGATGGAGGGCTGCTGAGCCGCCGTGTCAGGCCATGTGCAAGGCGGAGGGGCCAAGCAGGAGGAGGGAGCCGGATGGACAGGAGGATGAGGCGGATCCCCAGCGATAAGAGGATACTCTGCACCGACTGCCCTGGGATCTGGCTGCTTCCCCGCCTGAAGCACCCCTAATTCCTTCTGCCAAACAGAGCAGGTCTGCTCCTTACACGCACAGAGACACTGCCTCCAACAGTGTGGCCCTCCTGCTTCCCAACCGGGTATCTGGGGGGAACTGCGGGGATAGGACCACTCATGTGGGGTCCCTTGGGGTTAGGTCAAAAGGAGAGGGACCGGCACTGAGGAGGAGCTGCCAGGCCCTGGGTCAGGGGCTGCCTGGCCCCAGGCTCACCCGGACTCTGCGTGGTAGATCATTACCCCGCTTTACAATGAAGACGGTGGGCCTCACAGTGGTCAGGTGATGTGCCCAAGGCCACACAGCTGGCGAGGTAAGGGGCACAGGCCCTGCCCAGCACCAGGTCAGGTTCTGCTTACCACCAGGTCCTCCAGGGTGAGCATCTGGTCCGTGTCCCGCAGGATCTCGACTTCACCCTTGTGGGTCAGTTTGGAGGTCGGGAGGATGCACAGCTCCTTCTGTTGCTGCTCAATGATCTCCAGGCCCTGTGGGTGGAGCAGCCCTCGCTCAGCCGGATTCAGGAGGGTCTCTGGCCCCAAGAACCCCAGTGCTCACTGTCCTCCCTCGAGGCCCCTCGCCTGTGGTCCTTTCCATGCCGGCCGTTTCCCTCCCCGCACTTTTGCTCTTGCCATTCCCCTCACCCGGAAAGCCCTCCACCCCAGCCCTACCTCTCCACAGTCCACTCATCCACCCTCCAGCACAAGCCCTGCTCCTCAGCACGCCTTGAACTTCGCCTGCACCAGCAGTCGGTTCTGCTCCTGAGTGCACCCCACCATCCGTCCTGGGAGGTGCGCAGGCTCTGGAATGCCGGCTGGGCCGTTAATATAAGAGACCCACAAGGTAGTGGCCTTGGGCAAGCGCTTTACTGCTCTAAGCCTCGTTTTTTCTCTTCTCCGGGGATTAAACTAAGAGCATTATATTAAACAGCATACGTAGAGTGCTTCGCCAGAGCCTGGCTCATAGTAAAGGCTACTTGGGATTCTTAGTATTGATCAATGCCATCCTATCTGAAATGTTTCCTGAAAGCCTGTCCCTCCCTCTCTAGCCACCCCGGAGGGCCGAGGCCCTGTCCACCCTGGCAGTGCGGGCTCCGTGCGCGAGGCTCTGGGGCAGCTGCGCAGGCTCTGTGCTTAGATGGCCCCATGCTTAATGCCCTTGTCATCTTGAAATTCTTAATCGTTGTTGAACAAAGGGCCCCGCATTTTCATTCAGCACTGGCCCCACCGATTGTGCAGCTGGTCCCGCGCCCTGGCCCCCACAGGGCCTGGACAGAAGTTCAGTCTGTCGTGCACAGATTCACCTAGTGGATTCTAGTTATTCATGCTAATCAGTGTCTACCAGGACGGGAGCCTTAGCACCCACCCCATCCCATGGCCCTGCTCCCTAGATCAGTCCTTCCCTCTCTCACTGGGCCACAAAAGCCGCTACACAAATCCCCTAGGCCAGCTCGGTGCCCACACCTTCCCTGCCCCTGAACAGTTCCCAGGGAGGGGAGACCATGGACACAGGGTATATGGGGCTATAACTGTGAAGTGTGGGGACAGGGGGTCTCTCGCCCAGTCTGGGGCACCAGGAGTGGGAACAGGGGCACCCCAGGGGTCTACTCCCCATGGACGGCAGATGTCAATCATGAACTCTAGAGTCTGGACCATCATCCCCAAGCCCCGCCCCCCCCCCACAAGCCCAGCTTCACAGAAAAGCAAGTGGAAGGCAACACCTCTCGGGGTGTCACTCCTCTACCAAGCTCTCCATCCCTAACCCCTTTCCTCTCTGCCGCTTTTCCTAATTTTTTTTCTTGGAGTCTCTCTGGCTCTCTCCATCTGCCTGCTCTCTCTTTTCATTTCCTCATTTCTATCTTTCTCTCCGTCTTGTGTTCCCGGTGTCTCACCACCTTCCTCCTCCCTCTGCTCTGTCTCTCTCTCCCTGCTCCACACTCGGGTCACCCCTCCACACCACCCCCCATCCTGTCACCTGTCCTGACCTGACCCCAAACCTCACCCTTTTCTCCTCCTGGTCCCGCCAGCGGGCCAGCTCTTGGGGGGCCAGCTGGATTGAGTTCATCCGCACCAGGCCGTGGGGGGTGACATCTCCATGAACCACTTTGAGAAACAGGTCCTGTAGGGCAGGGGCAGGGGCAGGGGCTGCACCACACCACTCAGAGCCCCACCCGCTCAGAGGCCGGGCTGGGTGCGCGGAGGGGCCGCCCCAGCCCCCCGGTCCCGCTCACGGGGTTCCTGGGGTCTCGCAGGTTGAACAGCAGGCTGCGGTACTTGGTCTTGTAGCGGCAGTTGGTGGCTTGTGTCAGGTCGAAGAGGGCTGCCTCGATGCCAGCGGCGATGCCTTCTACCACCTCCTTACTCAGTGCCACGTCTGGGACCTCCCGGAGGCTGTGGGGGACACGGCCCTGAGCTGTGAGCTGGCCCGGCCCTCGGCCGGCAGGGAGAGATACGGTGGGCGGCAGGGTCTGGGCCAACTCCGGGCATTCTCCTACATGGCCCCATTTATTCTCACCCCAGCTCTCTGAGGAACAAGTGTTATCGGTCTCCATTTACAGAAGGGGTGTCTGAGGCTCAGGGGAGGGAAGGGGCTTGCCCGAGGCCACATGATTAGTGGCGAAGCAAAATCTGACTGCTCAGCTCACGCTCTAGCCCTGGCCAGTGGGACTGGGGAGAGTATAAGGGGAGGCAGCCTCGGGGAGGGGAGGGCATCAGCCAAGGCAGAGGACGGAGCCCTGGCCGTGGGTGAAACCCTGAATCTGCCATTGATTTGCTGGGTGGCTTTTTATTTTTTATTTTTTTAAATTTGTTTTTGTGCTGTCAGAGAGGAAGGGAGAGGGAGATAGAAACATCAATGAGAGAGAATCATTGGTTGGCTGCCTCCTGCAGGCCCCCTACTAGGGATTGAGCCCGCAACCCGGGCATATGCCCTTGACTGGAATCAAACCCGGGACCTTTGAGTCCACAGGCCGACGCTCTATCCACTGAGCCAAACTGGCAAGGGTTGCTGGGACTTTGCAAAGTCCCGCCCTCCCTGGACCTTGGTCTCCCCATTGGTAAACGAGAGCCTGGGCTGAGATCTCTGAGATCCTACCACAGTCTCATTGGATCTGAAAACATTTGCTGTGGTGACACCCACAAGGGCCTGAGCAGACCCTGAGCCACAGGGGCTTAATGGGAAAGCGCAGCCTTGAAGCCACAGAGGCCCAGGGTCAAGTTCGTCTCTCTTCTCACTCTTTGTGTGGGCAAGTGACCTCATGGCTACAAAATGGGTTCATCATACACACAGAAGCCCTTGGAAGACGGGTGGGCAACACCCTGCCCTCCGGCCGTATGAGACCTGCGAGACCATTTGGTCTGGCCCTGCCAAGGCACTGGGGTGAGTAATTAAATGTCTGACCAACTGTAGCAGGCTAATTTTTAAGTATAATTTTGTATGGCCCGCAAGTGATGTTATAAATATCCAAATGGCCCTTGGAGAAAGAAGGTTCCCCACCCCCGCCTCAGAACACGGTCTGGCCCAGGGAGGTGGTGGTAGCCGTCAGGGGTCAGGGAAGTGGGGAGCAAGGCCTCACCGACTCCACAGCACCTTCCGCATGACACGGACCACCGTGTGCCGCACCCCAATGTCCTTTTGGAGCTGGAGCTGAGCTGTGGAGAGAAAGGATCGGGGTTCCCCGGGGGATGCTGGGGGGCAAGGGGAGGAAGTGACTCCGTGCTGAGGGGCTGAGGCAGGGAAAGGAGGGGTCCGCGTCTCAGGGACCCTGTCCCACCCCCATCTGCCTGAGAGCTGAGCCCAGGCAGCCATCAGCCCCTACCTCTTTGGGGAAGGACTAGGAGCTGACTTGGGGGTGAGGAGAGAAAAGACATATCCTGTCTCCCAGGGACTGCTGGGCACCAGCCCCCTTCAGTCCCCGCCCGTCCTCGGCAGACAGGCGGCCCCTCACCTGCGTCCTCTTCCCAGTCCTGGTCCTCGGGCTCCTCCTCTTCAGACTCCACTGGACTGGACTGTGGGGGAGGGAGGAGCTGAGGCCAGGTGGCGGGGTCCAGCCCACGGCCCCACAGGGACACAGCTTCCCCCAGCCACACCCCCTCTCCCGCATTCTCCCTGAAGGAGGCCGCGTGACGGGGTGGACGCACTCACCCCTGGCCACTCTGCACGGGCCTCCTGAACAGGAAGCCCCTCCTGCAGGAGAAAGAGTGTGTGGAGGAGGAGTGGGGTCCCTGAGGGCCAGGGAGCCACTCCCAGACGGCGGGAGGGGTCAGCGACGCCACCAGAGCCCCACTCTGTCCCTCCTGAGGGAGGCAACCGGAAGGACTCGGGGTGGCCAGAGCAAGGAGCACGCAGACCCCCGGCGCGGGCCAGGTGGCGGCCTAACCCTCTGGCCGCTGCTTGCTGGGTGACCGGGAGCAACAGCATCTCTCTGGGCGGCAGTGGCCCCTCTGAGAGTCAGTGTGAGGGTGTCTCTCTCAACAGGATTGAGAGACATCGCCTAAGTGAAGAACCACATTCCATTCATGAAACTAAAAGGCGAGTGTTCTGTACCTGGCACCACGTGGGGCTGTGGGCCTGGCGCCTTATCTTCCTCCTGGGCCTCTGGGCAGGTGAGGCTGCGCTGACCTCCATCATGTTCTCCAGGGCCTCCAGCTTCAGCGGACGCGCGCCCCCTGCCTGCCCGTGGCTGATGGCCCCCAGGAGGTGGATCACCGCCCCGGAATCCAGCTGCAGGGGGAGAAGAGCCCTGCGGGCGGGGCTCACCTCAAAGTGCTTATGTCCCCCCACCCCGCGCCCTGACTGCACTCTAAGCTCCATGAGGACAGAGAACACCGTATTCCCGAGGCCTACTAAAGGCCTCGCACACAGTAGGGTCAATCGCAGCTTGCTAACTGTCTGGCCTGTGTCACAGGAGAGGAGCCCATCTTCTTTCCGACCTCTCTCCCATCTTCCCCGCTCACGCCCAGACACATTCAGAGCTGACTGAACCCGTCTCGCCCTCCTGATTCTAGACACATCTCATCAGGGGGGATGTGGAGGTCAGAGTGGGGTCCTGGTCTTCTAATGAGCTAAGCATCTGTCCTGCTCTCCTGTTCGCTATGGTTGCCAGAAGCTCAATATTGCAGGGGGGAGGGGGGGGTTGTTGGGGGAACGGAGGGGTGGTTGTAACACGATTTCCCTTCCTCCTTCCCTTTTTCTTGCTTTCTTTAGGCTCCAATCCCGCTTTAAGTGTGTTTTGATTCATTTGCTTTATTGCAAACTATGGGGAATTGTTTTGAAAGCAAATGGGTCTGAAAAGTAATCCTTGAATAAATGACCATGAATGGTCAGGTTCCAAGGTCTGGGGGAAGGCGGAAGTCTGAGATTCAGCATCACAGGGAGGGGAGCACTAGGGGGCTCTGGCGGGGGCGGGGAGGGGGGGCAGGCCAGGGGGCTGGGGTTGCCGCTAATTGGAGGAGCCCCATCCCACCAGACCGGGGAGAGGGAGGAGGAAGGGCTGTAATGAAAAGTAAAGACCTACGTAGCACACACGCTTCACCCCGCGGGGCATCTTCATCTCCTCCTTGAAGAGAAAGAGGAGGCAGAGATTAGAATGCAGGGGATCTAGGGACCCACAGAGGTGAGAGATGGACGTTCAGTGTTCGCTGCATTGGTATTTATAACCAGAAAAAATTGAGTACAATCTAATGTTCATCAAAGAGGAATGGTTAAGCCCTGGCCGGTGTTCTCAGTGGTTAGAGCATCAGCCCGAGCACCTGAGGTCTCGGGTTTGATTCCTGGTTAAGGGCACATACCTGGGTTTCGGGTTCACTCCCCAATCCTGGTTGGGCATGTACAGGAGGCGACCAATCAATGTGTCTCTTTCACAGCGATGTTTCTCTCCCTCTCTCTCTCTCCCTCCCCCTCCATCCCTCCCTTTCTTCCCTACCACCCCTCCCATCCCTTCTATTCTCTCTAGAAATCAATAAAAAAATATCCTCAGGTGAGGATTTAAAAAAATAATCAAATTTAAAAAGGAGGGATGGGTAATAAAAGGTGACATGTCATACTATGGAGTCTATGTGGCCATTAAAAGGGGTGAGTCATATCCTTAGCTGATTTGGCTCAGTGGATAGAGCATCGGCCTGCAGACTAAAGGGTCTCAGGTTCAATTCCAGTCAAGGGCACATGCCTGGGTTGCAGGCTCAATCCCCAATTGGGTGCAGGAGGCAGCCAATCAATGATTCTTCACTGATGTTTCTATCTCTCTCTTCCTCTCTGACATCAATAAATATATTTTTTTAAAAAAAAAAAAGGTGAGTCATAATATAAACTACTATTCATCAGGTGCTTAGAAGGTAGCTGGCCCTGGAGAAAGCACATCACATGTAATCTTATGAAGGTCTCAGAACAACACTATGAGGTGTGTACTATTTCTATCCCCATTTTACAGATTAGGAAACTGAGGCTCAGAGAGGATCTGAAAAGTCCCATAGCTCCTAAGCAGCGGAGCTAGGATCAGAACCTAGTTCTGTCTGCCTCAAAGCCCAGGCACCAAGCTGCTGAGTTATGCAGCAGCACTGACTGATACGGTAAGATGTCATGCTGTACTATTAGGAGAATAAGAATAGCTGACAGAATAGTATCTGTTGCATAAGCCCATTTATGTAAATACATAGTTATAGTTGCATAATAGAGGTTATCTCTAGGGAATGAAATTGCAGGGGTGGGGGGTTGCTTTCCACATATAGGCACTTGGGCATTTATGTTACTTAAAATGAGCACGTATTTCTTTTATAACTAGAAAACATTTTTTTTTTACTGAAACACACGTTCAGAACAATGTGTGTCGTGTGCTACCATTGCACTAAAAAGAGAGAAAAAGACTTTTTAAATTTGTATTTGCTTGACTCTGCATAAAATATCGCTGGAAGTATCCACCAGAACCTAATAAACGAGGCTGCCAATAGGAAAGGGACTGGGAGCTGGGAAGGAAACTTTTCATTTTTTTTTTTAACCATGGGAATGAATCAGCCTTTTAAAAAAATAAACTGAGAAGGGCGGTTGGGGGAGAAAACGGGACATCTGGGACGGAAAGCAGGAAAGATATTAAGGACAGCCCTTCACAATTTAAAACCTTTCGGCAGGCCCCATCTCAGGGTCCGCATTGCAGCATTAGGAGGTTCCAAACAACACAGCAATCAGACCAGCAAAGACTTTAGGAACTGGATTTATCAGACCAAAATACATATATATAACAGGCTTAACAAAATAAAAGGAGTTGTGCCCTAACCGGTTTGGCTCAGTGGATGGAGCGTCGGCCTGCGGACTGAAGGGTCCCGGGTTCGATTCTGGTCAAGGGCATGTACCTTGGTTGCGGGCACATCCCCAGTGGGGAGTGTGCAGGAGGCAGCTGATCGATGTTTCTCTCTCATCGATGTTTCTAACTAGGAACTGGATTTATCAGACCAAAATGCAAAATACATATATATAACATGCTTAACAAAATAAAAGGAGTCGAACATAACCAAAAAAAAAGGTGAAAGGCAAAAGATATATAAATTTTTCAAATGATCAAGCATGCCGTGACTGGTATAGCTCAGCTGGTTGGAGTGTCATGCCGTACACTGAAAGGTCGCAGGTTCAGTTCCCGGTCAGGGCACATACCTAGGTTATGAGTTCGAACACCAGTCAGGGTGTGTACAGGAAGCGACCAATCTATGCTTCTCTCTCCCTTCCTCTCTCTCTCAAATTGATAAATATATCCTTGGGTGAGGAATTTAAAAAATGATCAAGCAGATTTGGTTGGGAACCAAACACAAATTTTGGGAATGGAAAGTATGATAATAATTAAAATGAAAAACTCAATATATAGGTTTAATAGCATATTAACACAATGGAAATAAGTTAGTGAACTGGAAGATAGATTTAATAAGTTACTGAGACTATTCACAGCACAAAGACGGTAAGACACAGTCAAAGAGACACTAGAGATAGAGTGAAAAGGACTAATTAACCTAAAGTCCCAGGAGAGAGGAGAGAGAATGGGGCAGAGGTACTATTTGAAGATCTATGGCTAAGAATTTTCCCGAATTGATCAAAGACAACAATTCACAGATTCAAAAACCTCAGTGAATTTCAAACCGGATAAGTGAAAGCAAATCCACACCTGGACAAATCATAATGAAACTGTTCAACACCAATGATAAGGAGATCCTGAGAGCATCAAGAAAGAAAAATAACAGCTAACACGGAAATAACACTGAGAAGGCACTGTAACTGTTCTGCATGCTGTACATGTTAGTTCACTCAATCCTCACCACAGCTATGAGCGGAGCACTGGTACCAATATTGTCCCCATTTTACAGAAGAGAAAACTGAAGCACAGAGAGGTTGGTCAGTCACACAGCTAGTGAACCAAAGAGCCGGGATTTAAATCCAGGGGCCACGCCTGTAACCGCTCCTCTACAATGCCTCTCACCAGAAGGCCTTTTACTTACCACAGAATGACAATTAGACCAACAGCTAACTTCTCGACAGTAATGTGGAAGGCAAAACACAGCACAATGATAGTTTCAATGAGCTTAAGAAAATAACTATCAATTGTGGACCCAGACAAAATCTTTTCTGAGAATGAGGATAAAATAAAAACACCGTAGAGAAAAGCGAGTTATTGTTTTTCTGGATAATTTAATTTTTTTTCAATAACCAAAATGTTAAAGGATGAACTTGAGGCAGAAGAAAGGAAAAATGATCCTAGGTAGAAACGCTGAGATGCAAGGAGAAATCTTGAGCAAAGAAAATGATAAATATGTTGTTAAATCTAAACCTACATTGACTTATGATACTATAATAACAATGTGTAGTTTGTGGAATTAAAAAAATAACTTAGGACCAACTCACTGGATAACAACAGCACATAAATTGGGAAGGTGCGTCCTGGCCGGTTTGGCTCAGTGGATAGAGCGTCGGTCTGCGGACCAAAGGGTCCCAGGTTTGATTCTGGTCAAGGGCATGGACCTCGGTTGCAGGCTCCTCCCTGGCCCAGGCCCTGGTCAGGGCATGTCCAGGAGGCAACCAATCGATGTGTTTCTCTCACATCTATATTTCTGTCTTTCCCTCTCTCTTCCACTCTTTAAAATCAAAAGGAAAATATCCTCAAGTGAGGATTAAAAAAAAAACTGGGGGAAGGTTCATGCTTGGAATTAAAGCATCCCAAGATCCTTACATAATTTCAGAGGAAGATAAAGATGTAACTACCTTTATACTTTGGTAAGTGAGGTATTCATGTTAAAATTTCTAAAATAGCCACCAAAAGAATATAAACAGGGCACAGAAAACTTCCATCTTCTAGAGAGACAGAAAAAGAATAAGAAAAAAATCAATCTAAAAGGAGGCAATAAAAGGGGGAAAGTATAGAAAATGCAGGATATATGTAAAACACAAAATAAGACAGTAGGATTAGATTCAAATAAATCAGTAATTACAACAAATGTAGATGGACAAATACTTCAGACAAATAAAAATAATTATCAAACCTTTAACAAAGAAAGTCCAATTATAAGATGTTCAGAAGACGCATTTCTAAAATAGAGCAATGCAAAAGATTGGGAGGAAAAAATGGAATAATATGTGAACAGGCAATTACCAACCAAATACAGGTTTGTAGCTATATTCATATCAGATAAAACAGGCAAAAAATAACTAGAAGTGCTCTGGCTGGCTCAGTTGGTTGGAGTGTTGTGATGTATACCAAAAGGTTGCAGTTCAATTCCAGGTCAGGGCATATACCTAGGTTTCGGGTTCAATCCCCAGTTGGGGCGGCATGGGAGGCAACTGACCAATGGATGTTTCTTTCACTCTCTCTCTCTCTTCTCTTCTCTTTAAACATATCCTCGGGTGAGGATTTAAAAATAACAGAAGCAAAGACCTGACTACATAAAGCTCCAACCTGCCTCCTGCCTCTACCAGTGGTTCTCAACCTTCCTAATGCCGAGACCCTTTAATACAGTTCCTCATGTTGTGGTGACCCCCAACCATAAAATTATTTTCGTTGCTACTTCATAACTGTAATTTTGCTACTGTTATGAATCGTAATGTAAATATCTGATATGCTATATGTGTTTTCCAATGGTCGCGACCCACAGGTTGAGAACCGCTGCTAGACCTTTGCACGTGCTCGGTACACCCTTCCTACCTTGTCTACCTGCTGAACACCTGCTTCCTTTTCCCAGGCCCAGCTCAGACAGCCCCTCCTCTGCCCTACCTAGCTGAACACCCTCCCACCCACCCCTCCCCAGGGAAGACTCAATTGCCCTCTAGGTACCCAGGGTCTGCTGGACTTCAGTCTGTATCTTGACTCTCTGGTGACGTATCTCCCACTTGCCGCTTGTTGAAGAAATTATAATAAAGTCCCATACAAATCCAAACCCTTCGCCAGGCCTTTGGCAGCCTGGCTCAGAGCGTGGACTCTGGAGTCTTGCAGGCCTGGATTTAAATCCCGGCCACGCCGCTCACGTGCTGTGTGACCCTGAGTGGGCCACATGCCTTCTCTGAATCCAAGATTTCTTATTTGGCAAAGCAGAGGTACGAACACTGACTTCTAATGCCATGGTGAGGACTAAGTATGAGACGATGATATATGTGAAGCTCCTTGTATACAATAAGAACTCAAAGAAAGGAGCTATTCTTAGGTTGTCCATCTGTTGGGAAGACACAGTCCTCCCTCACACGCCTTCTGACCCTTTGCAGCTACACAGGACCCCTGACTCGGGGAACCTGGGTGGGGCCGAGCAGCTCTGTGCCTCCCTGGCTGTGGTGGGCAGAGCTGCCCTCCCCACGTCCCCTGCCTTCCGCAGAGCAGCTCCAGACCTCACTGACCACTGCGGGGCTCAGGTCAGAGAAGAAAATGGCGTCTCCACCCCCCTCCCCCGCCCAAGAGTCTCTACTTCAATCCAGAGGAATTCCACACGACCAACCTCACACCCAGATTCCCAGCAGTTTTGGGGCCCAGCTGACTCCCCCATTTTGTAGAGGAAGAAACTAAGATTCAGACGAGAGATATCTCTCATCCGAAGTAAGAAACAGAGCCTGACCTTGAACCCATCTGTCTGCCCCTGGCACAAGCCAGGCTGCCCCCCGGAGAAGGTGCCAGGGCCCAAAGAGGGGCTCCGGACCAGCTGGGCACTCTTCCATGCCCCACTCAACCCTGTCCTCAACCACCTGCCCGTCCCTGTCATGCCCAGCCTCCATTCTCCTGCAGCTGCCACCAGTTGCCATGACAACGGGTTATTTGGGAAGCTGTGGGATGCTGGGCTGGGCTGCAGAGTCAAGGACGGGGCCTGGAGGCGAGAGCAGCCGTGGGCGCCTTCCAGGCGAGGCGGGCGGGCACCTGGCTCCGCCACCCAGCTCAGACTAGCCCCTCAGAACGCTGTGGGCCCAGGAATCCCCATGCTGGGCACCTGGCCCCGATAATGCGCAGCGATGTTCACCCCAGCGTGACTCAGAGCAGGACGGAACTGTGTGTCAACAGCAGGTAACGTTTCTGAATATCGTCCTCGCACCGGGCACCTTGCTAAATGCCAAGCACACGCCATCTCATGCTCTGAGCCTCCACCCTCGGAGCTGCCCCGGAGGTGAAGTCGCTTGCCTGGGTCACTCCGATAGGGGCAAAGCCAGGACCCAATGCCTGCCTGGTGGCCTCCAGGCCTCGTGCTCTGAACCACACTGCAGAGGTAGGAAATGAGAAAAGGAAGTCCCGGCCCATCCTCCGGTCCTAGCAGGGCCTGTGACAAGTGTGTGATGCAGGCTCGGGGATTCGCCAAACAATAGGCATCAACTTGGAAAGATCTTCAAATGCTACAGCGCGTGAAAAGTAAGCCGAGTACAGGTCCTGCAACAATGAGGCGCAGGATGAGCCTCCTTACAGACAGGAAGGCACAAGGTGTAGGTGTTCACATACGTATAGAGTTCATAGAGAGCAGGCAGGAGAGACTGTAAACATGGTTATCTCACAAAAGGCAAGGGGCCGGGCGGCATTCAAAGGGTTTTCCTCGTTCTGTGCTAACAATTAATTAATTGGGGGGGGGGGGTTAAATACCAAAAATCAAGTTATAAAAAATTTGGCACACATGATCCCATTTCTAGGCAAAGAAAAGATATATACGCATAGGAAAAAGATGGGAAAGAGGACATATACCAAAATGTCACCAGGAAATAGCCCTGAATGTTGACATTATGGGAATTTTTATTTTTTCTTTCTTTTCTATGATAAACACACATTCTTTTTTTATTAAAAACTGTTTTTGAGTGATGCTTGCAAAGACAATGTAACCGCATTGTCGTGTAATTACAGCACCAGGTGGGGGTAAATCACACAGGCAGCTCGCTGCTTCCTATGCCAGTGCTACTAATTTGCTGTTTGGCCTTGAACTAGCCATTTCACCTTTCTGAGCCTCAGTGTCCACATCAGTAAAATGGGTTTATGTCAATGGCATCTACTTCATAGGGTGGTTAGGAAAATTGAAGATCAAGTGCTTGGAACAGCGCTTAGCACACAGTAGGCAGGCTAGGTACTATTACTGATCGTGACGGCAGTAATGTTGCCCAGTAGCACCCCTCCCCAACAGCGCTTAGCACACAGTAGGCAGGCTAGGTACTATTACTGATCGTGACGGCAGTAATGTTGCCCAGTAGCACCCCTCCCAGATGTGGGACGAGTGGGATAAAAATCAACTATGGGAGAAGCATACGCCAAAAGCAGGGAGTGCCGTCTCCTGCCTTTGCGGTGTAAACATGGTCACTATGATTCTTAATAAAACGACGATTATTACAAATAAAAGAAGGGAGTGCCGTCTCCTGCCTTTGCGGTGTAAACATGGTCACTATGATTCTTAATAAAACGACGATTATTACAAATAAAAGAACAATACAGGGAACATGGATAGGCACTGCCTCCCTCGCTGTGTGTGAGCTTGGAGAAGTCTGTGAACTTCTCTGAGCCTCAGTTTCCCCACCCGGAAATTCGGAGCCAGTGCCCACTTTATACGGCAATTGCTGACACCAAAGCAAAGGCCAATTTGACATAAATGAAGTAATTTGCCTTGTGCCATCTGCTGTGCCAGGCACATTGTTTTATGCCATCATCTCACTTAGTGCATTAAATTGAAATTAGCATTTCCTTTTTGCAGATGAAGACACGGAGAGATTAAAAAATATTCCAACGTCACTCAGCTAGGAGGTGGGCAGAGGCAAAATTTGAACCCAGGACTTACCAACTCCAAAAGATACTGACCACTGACGAGATGTCAGCAAGTGTAGTTTACTTTTAGCCTCCTGACTTGGTGGGCCTTAGTTTAGTCAGGTGTAAAATGGGCATGTGGGACAAAGGTCAGTAAGAGTCCACCCAGCTCAGCTCTATTAAATTCCACCACCAAGCATGGCATGGAGAGACTGGCCTGGCCCTTCCTATGCCCACCTCTCAGGCTCAACTTACCAGTTTGGGGAAGCCTCCTGGGCGGGATGCTGCTGGCGGGTCGTGGCTGAAGTTGTCGGAGCTTCTGTCTGTGCCCCGGTCCTCGGCAGGGGGCACTGGGCCGCTCCCCAACTTAGCACACTTGGATCTTCTCTGTCCCATGAATGGACCTGAGCGAGCCTTGCTGGCTGCAGACTCTGGGGAGTCGGCAGGGGTGTCAGTGAGAGCAGGGAGTCCTTGCCCGGGCCTCCCCATGGACACTGGCCAAGCCTTGACCTCCAGCTCCTCCTGGTTGTGTGAGGCAGCAGGGCCATCCTCACCGCCAGCCCCCACAACAACCTGCTCAGCTGCCCGCTGCCCTGTGGATGCCTTCCCAGACACTCCCGGGCACAGTGCGGGGCTCTGGGGCGGATCCTGGGCAGCTGGCCTGAGGGACAGCCCGCCATTGGGCAGTGGGAACTGGACAGGGTCGTAGTGGCTGCCTGGTTGGGCCCCATCCTCCGCATCGGGCGAATATCGGAACTTAGTCCCTGAGGCACATCCCACACAACTTCCATCTGAATCTCTTGGCCCAGACCCAGTGTCCTTGGGAGGAAGAGGACTGCAGGGGCCTCCCAAGGACCCCAAGTCAGCTCCTGGTGGGGGGTCTCCCACCCACTGGGGGTTGTCCCCACCAGGGCTCTGACCAACCCCCTCCCCATCCTCTGAGCAGGTCTCACACTCCCTGCTTTTCTTTCTCGCCCGAACAGGGGCTGAGCCTAGTGAGGGGGGCAGTGCCCGCGTGGGGGGTTCCTCTTTACCGAGGGTGGGGCTTCTCCCATCACACCCTGGAGAACTCCCACCTTCTCCAGCCTCTCTGGGCCTGGGGCAGCTCGCCTTCTCCGCCTCTGCTGGCCTCTCCCTGCCCACCAGGGCTCTCTCTGGGAGACCCACAGACACGCTACAAAGATTCCTGGCCCAGTCTTCATCTAAGATGCTATGTAGAGAAAGCTGGAGCCTCTTAGAGGCCGGGGGCCGTCCCTGAGCAGGCGCTGTGGGCAGCTGGGTGTGGAGCCTGGGACCAGGCACCGGGTCCTGGCTCTGTCTCGCAACTGGCAGCTCCAGGACCACCAAGTCGGCCTTGGCCTTCGCGCCGGCCCTCGGCGCACCCTCGGCCGGGGAGCTGGCACCTCGATGGGCCTCTTCCCCGAGCGCCCGCCTCCTTCTGCCAGCCGAAACGTGGGCCCCAGGGCTCGCCCCCCGCAGGTGTGGTGCCAGGCCCGCCACGGAGCTGGCTTCCTCCAAGTCCTTCTGGAAAAGCCCGCAGCTGCGTCGGGGACTGAGAACGGGCCCCTCTGTGCGGGGGCCCTTGGCAGAACGGGCCCCTCCGTGTGGGGGCCCTTGGCAGCCCCTTGATGTGCGGGCCCTGTGAGGAGAGAGAAGAGGTTTCATGGTGGAGGGCCGTGAGGAGAGAGAAGAGGTTTCATGGTGGAGGGCCACCGGGACGGGGGAGACGCTCCAGGTGCCCGCCAGGCCTGCCCGCTCCGGAGGCCTGGAGGCCAGTGATGTCAGCCCCCGGTGAGGGCGACAGGCCTGCGGCCAAACAGGGTTGAGCGACAGCCACCTGAAGGCCTCCCCATCTGAGGGCTTACACTTCTGCTAATAATCAAATGGGCTGTGATATGAACAATGACCAGTTATCAATTACTTGTCTCTGAGCATCATTTCATTTCACACTGGCAGCCACAGGTGAGCAAACGGAGACAGGGACGTCTAGGGACTCGCCCAAGGCCGGGCCCATAGGAGTGAGAGCCGGTCTCCTCTCTCCATCTTGAAGCCCAGCTCTCAACCCTCCGCGGACACCCAGGGGGTCCGTCCCCATCCCCGTCCCCTGCCCAGCCCCTCCCGTCGGTCCTGTCCTGCGAGACACCCCAGGCCTGACAAGGACAGACCCCTACCGCTCAGGGAACTCGGCTCCAAACCGTCCAGAAGCTCCCACTCGGAGTCCCCCGGCGCCCCCATTCCAGGGTTCCACCCCCGCCTGGGAAGGGGCTGGAATCACGTGACGCAGGGAGCCCTGGGTGAGGGATGGGGCGCAGGCTCCAACGAGACGCCGAGGACGGCACCCTGCACGTGCCGACGCCGTGGCACCAGCAGAGGGCGCGCTCTCCCTCCGGTCCTCGGGCTCCCGCGCGGAGGCAGGTAGGTGGGTGCGTGTCTGAAGCCAAAGGTCGCCCCCAAGGGCCTTGACGGTCTGAGCGTGTGAACTTGCTCCCAGGGTGATGGGGAGTGACCGAAGGAGCCTGGAGCCCTAGGGAAATGTCAGAATCAGATCTACAGTTTTGCCTAATTAGTTGCTATTTTAATTATTATCTCAAATATAGAAAGATAATTCACAGAGATAAAAATGCACATGGAAGCCAAATGTAAAAGTTAGACATCAAAACTCGAACATGTCCTCTCACTTCCCAACTCAGGAGCAGCCTTACTTTTTTTCTTTTCTTTCTTTTTTTTTTTTAATTTTATTAGGTTGTCATTTTAGTTTTTTGTTTATGTCACTTCCATAACTGTGAGTAATGTCCTCACACTCTGGTGCTTGATGTGTTGGTGTTAGCAGTGTCTACTGATTCCCTGCTGTGGCGATTTCATTAACCATCCTTTTCCCCTTTCTCCTCCCAAATTTTTTATATTCATATTTGTAGTTTTTCTATTGGTTACAATTATAATTTTGAATAATAGTCTTAACTGTTTCTTCCTTAGATTGTATCTTTTGATTTTCCTCTGTGTGAAATGAATAATTTCCCCTCCCCACTTCTGCCTTCCTCCATCAACTCAATTTTTACTTTTACTTTGTGAAGGTTTGGAGTATGTACCTTCTATTCTGTAAAAGGTGGTTCAGTTTGCCATACTTTGCCTGTAGATTGATTCTTAACCTTGAAAACCAGATGACATTTTATAACATTATTACCATGTAAGTATTTTCACTGCCGAACTCAGTTTGGATGGACCTCACGAAGAGGAGGTGGGATTCCGGGCACTGAAGCCTGGGCCATGGGACACCACGAAAAGCTTCCAGGTTCATGGAATACTACGCTGCAGTGAGAATGAATAAGTTAGATCTACACACCAACGTGGATGCATCTCAAAGACATTGTGTTGAATTTAAAAGGCAAGATCATGTTAATAACAGGAAACTGAATGCCAGGTATTTGGGAACTCTGTACTAATCTTCAATTTTTTTTCTATAAATCTAAATCTTTTCTTAAAAATAAGGTTTACTACACACACACACACACACACACGCACAAAGGAAGCTGCTGTGTAACCCGTATTGAAAGCTGTCATGATCTGGCTGTCAGGGTCCCAAATGAGGTAAGAGTTGAGATTGATGTCACCGGTGACATCCAACCAACGCTCTCAAGAAATAACTTTTTTAAGTGAAAAGACCTCCCACTACGAAACGTCCTGGTGATACCGGGCACGACGGGTCCGTTACTGCCTCCGCCACTAAGCCAATAAGCAGAGACAAGGTGGAATCCTTTATGAGCGTTGATTAATCAGATAACAGGTGACCTGAGAGAGCAGCAGGGTAGCACCTTGAGAAAGAGTGCTCTGACATTTCAGTAAAAGCTCTTGTACAGGGCCAGTGGGTGGGAAAAAATCTGAAGTTAGTGAGTTCCCAGGGCCTGCCTTCTTCCGTCGTCCTTGCGAAGATTAGCCCTGGAATGCTGTCTCCCTTCAGAGATGTTCTGTCCGTCATCTGGGCTCCGGGCCGCCTTATCTCCAGGGCCTGTTCTCCTTCGTGTGACACGTCCTTCAGTTTCCCAGGGTCTGTAAGAAAATCTCCTCTTTATAGTGAGCAGCTATTAAACAACTGCGATTCTATTTCTATTATGTGTCCCTCCCCTATTACCTCCCCCCCCCCCGTTAGTTTTAAATCTTATATCTATGAGGTTAGTTTCATATGGAAAGGATCTTGCTGCTGAAAGGGGGAGGGTTGAGAAGTCCTCTAGGTGCAGGCCAGCAAAGTCCATGCCGATAAGGACCTGGAAACTGGTCAAGCGATGGTCTGATGGGCATCGTCCTGGTCTTTGTCATCCTGCCTCGACGTCATCTGAAGGTCGCTGAAGGTCTGAAGGTCAGCTCTCTCCCCCTCAGCCATTTCCTTCCACTGGCAGCATCTCCCAGAGCTGGGATGACTGAAGGTCAGAGTCTGTATCTTCGGAAGTGAGTTCCTGGGATTCCTATAGAAGCATGCTGTTTATCTAGTCAGAGTCAGCATTTATGGAAACATGTCAAATGAATGGCAGGCTGGGTTATACAGTTCCCACTGTTATTCCGGTCGTTGTGGTAGAGACTTGACCAGGTCCCCTAAGACCAAGTGAACTGTTATTCTGGTCCATTTGGATAATGGAAATCTCCCACCACTGGGGAAGGCGCTATTAGCACCACGCGGCACTGGGGGTCAATGGGCAGTGACAGGTAACACATACAGAGCTATCTGAGCCAGGGACTGGTCTAAATGCTTTACCTATCTCAATCCTATATTTACCTATTTTGATTACCTATATTAATCCTTACAGCAAGTCTATGAGGTAAGGACTATTATCGTCCCTACTTGACAGATGAGGAAGTAAGCACAGAGAGATAAATAAGTTGCCAAGATTAGTAAGCGGTAGAATTGGTTTAGGAAGCCAGCCAGTCTCTCTATCTCCTGATATTCTAAAATGCTTCATTGTCATAAAAAAATAATCAAAGTAGGGTTTTAACCAGGCTTTGGCCCAATGCCTTTCACGAAATTGTTTGCCGATTCCTCCATTTATGCATGACAGCGCCTCTTTTATACAGCCTGTGCTTACTTATCACCAGGATTTACCTTTGTTGTTGTTGTTCTTGGTTGCTTCTTGCTTTAAACTCCTTCCATAGAAGTGAAACTAGAGAAACTGCATGGGAGGCTGCAGACATGATCCAGGTGTCAGTGGTTCCTTTAGTGAGCGTTTATTGAGCATTTACTATGGGTTGGGACTCTTGTATATTATCTCATTGAATCTTCACAACAATATTATAAAGTAGATGTCCTTATTCACTTTTTACAGAGAAGAAAAACAGGTTTCAGTGGATGAAGGGACTTACCTGGGATCATGCAATCTCTAGGGAGGAGCAGAGCTGGTTCAACCTCAAGTCCAACTCAATTCAAAGTTCCTGCTCTAAACCAGCGTTCACCAACCGGTGGTCCGCAGACCACTGCTGGGCCGTGAGGTCCGAAAGGTTGGCGACCGCTGCTCTAAACTATATTCCCATGAGGGCAGGAACCAGACTGGGTTTGCCTTATTCACAGTACCTAACGTGGTAGAACACACACACACACACACACACACACACAGGAAGGATATACAGCACAATATCACGGAAGCCAAGGAAAGAGTGTTTGGTTTTTTGTGGGGGGTGAATTCTTCTAATGTTTGGTTTTTTGTGGGGGGTGAATTCTTCTAATAAATGACTTCTCTTGAAATAAGTTTAGGCTCCCAGAAAAGCTCCAAATATAATACACGGAGTTCCATATGCCCTCACCCACTTCCTTCCACCATGAGCATCTTACATGACCATGGTGCGTCACTATAACTAAACTACGCACTGTATTTGCATTTCACCAGTTTTCTCACTGATGTCTTTTCTTCAGTTTCAGGGCCCAGAGCAGGACCCTGAAACAGTTTGTGTTTACCTGTCCCGTGGTGCCCTGGTTCCTCGTTGAATTCAGCTGCCATGCCTCCCCGGTCTCCTGGCCTGTGGTAGTTGCTCGGGTTCCCTTGCTTTCCATGACCTTGTCAGTTCTGAGGAGTAACACTCGGGCAGTTTGTGGAGTGTCCCTCAATTTGGGTTACTCTGATGTTTTTCTCCTGATTAAACTGGTCTTAAGGGTTTGGGGTGAGAATGCCAAGGGAAGAGCCTTCTCTCCACATCAGATCAGGG